AATAAAAATAAATAAAATCTTAAAAAAAAAAAAATGTACCCTCAACTGACCTGGGGGCCTGCAGGGCCCACACCAAATTTACTCTCTGCTCTCCCCAGCTCTCAAGTGCTACAGACCCTGGGATCTATGCTGACTCTAAATATCTATGTTACCACATCTTGGCAAGAAAGATCTTTATTTTCCTTCCTGCACTTATTTTCCTGGCATAGAAAACAACAACGTTGCTGTCGTCCCTTGCCAAAGATACGACAGTAACGACATTGCCCTCTCAAGGTATATCCTTACGTAGATAGTATGTCAGTGTGAGGGAACAATGTCGAACAATGGGAAAAGGAGGCATGTTTCTGGCTTCCGCCACTTACTAGCTGTGTGTCCTTGGGCAAATTCCCTCACCTCTCTGAGCCCTGGTTTCCTTATCTGAAAAATAAGAATGATAGTATCCAATTCACAGGCTGTTTGGGGGGCTTACCTGAGTGGTGTGTACAACGCTCCTGATGTGGGATGTCAGCACGACATTACATAAGGAGCCTCAATAAACAATAGCTCCTACTACTGTCATTATTTCCTTTCTGTTTCACAGGAAATTTGCGAGAATCCCCGATTTATCATTGGTGGAGCCAACAGAACTGACATCTGTCAAGGAGATCTAGGTAGGCAAGTCCCCTGAGATCATATCCAGCCAAACAATCAAGGGGTGATTAAAAGGTGTGGTCCCTTTACAGGAAGTAAAGGGACAATAATCTGGTTTTGGTCTTAATGCATTTTGGGGAGGAGGCTTTTCTAACAGTACTTCATGCCCATGTATCTATGTGCTGGTGATGGCTTCATTTACTTTCTGTTCCTCCCACATCTCTCATCAGTTCTTTGCCTCCTGTCACGGGAGATATGCCTCGTTCCACAGCATCCTCCCTAGAGTCTCAAGGACACTTGCACACCCCACTCCGCAAGATAAAAGCCTTGCTTTTAACTGTACCCACTCCCTTAAAAGAGAGCTCTGAAACTGCGCACCAAGCACGTCCCTGGAATCTATATGGAATCTGTATGCACACGGAAAGTGCACTTGTAACTCACTCTCTTGTTGACAATGCCCCAGCGTCGCTCCATATGAAAGGAGTCTTTCCACAAAGATGGCAGTTGCCACAGGATGCGCGTCCAGTGTTCTGTCTGGGTGGTCAGCTTGGCTCTTCCGCCAGACCTTCCTCTCAGGAAGTATTCTCTCCGGTGTGGACCGCGGGAAAGCTCTGCGAAGCAAAACTGGAGAGAACATCAACAGGCATAGTTTAAAAGTTGCGGGGAAAGAGCATCCAAGACCCAGTGAAACGAACTTGGCTTATTTGGCCCCAGAAAGAGAGGCTAAGGAGGTTTTCAGTATCTGGGTTCCTGCACCCGGGGGAAGGCTGCCTGCAGAGCCCTGGGCAAGCTCATAATCTGGACCTTCTAACAGAAACTGTTTCAAAGGAGAGGCTTGCTTCTTCTGGAGGGGGGTGG